GAATGTGGCTATTGGCTGGTGCTGCCCTCTTTCTTCCCGACTGCGTGTCGATGGTGCTGTCACATCTCACATAGCAGGTGGGTTCGTCTAGCAGCCTAACCGCAGAATGACCAGGAGGCTAGAGTACCCGAGGTCGGAGGGTGAGAGAGAGAGAGAAAGAGAGAGAGAGAGAGAGAGAGAGAGAGAGAGAGAGAGAGAGAGAGAGAGAGAGAGAGAGAGAGGGGGAGAGGAGAGAGAGAGGAGAGAGAGAGAGAGAGAGAGAGAGAGAGAGAGAGAGAGGAGAGAGAGAGAGAGAGAGAGAGAGAGGAGAAAGAGAGAGAGAGAGGGAGAGAGAGAGAGAGGAGAGAGAGAGGGTGATACGATACAAGCCTACATTATGCACACCACCATCACCCGCCTTCAATACTTGCTCGGGTGGGGGTCAATTTGACACCCCGAATGTGTTTCCAGCATAAGCTCTGAACGGCACGGCGAATTTTTGTTTAGCTGTGGGCAGTGCAATGGTGGACTTTTACAAAAGATTGCATGCACCTTGTAAGGTCGCTGACGTATGACAGATCAAAGTCAGACCATGGCTGTCAGCGCAAACGATTCTTAGAAAGTCGCTCAATCCGATGCGACAACGGAGTGTTCGACGAAGCCACACACCTCTGAGATAGTTTTTTAGACAATAAGACAATTGAGTTTAAGGTGACAACACATTCCATTCATCTTGGTTAGGTTCAAAGGTCAGCCCGGGATAAAAACCAACCTACTTCTTGACTGAGGAGCTTGCTGTATAGGGTAGTTTCTTATGCCTGTTTCGAATGTTTATAGCAGGGACACAAGGCCACGTGCATTGAACACTTTAAAGGTTAAAAGACATCACTGGCCCAAAATAACTCATATCAACGCTTTGTTCCAGGAACATGACGCCTAGCATGATCCTTGACTCGCATTCACATTTGAGAAGCAAAACAATCTCTTAGGTTTTTGGCCACCGCGACTTTCCAAGGGTTAAGCAAGGTCACTGATCTCAAATGTACATCAGTGACCCTTTGTTTATAACAACTATCTAGGTTGACGGCGGTTGCATGAGAAGGTGTGGTGCCCTTTGACCTGTGATCTGAAGTTTTACCTTGTTGGATTTTGGCAGAGCGATTCCGCATACAGGCCAATTCACTCTGTAAATTTGATGCATTTAGCTCTTTTACTTATGAGATCTCAAGGCACTAAACTAAGCCTCCACCCGAGCGCGTTGCATTTGACCGCCCACCCGGGCGAGTGCTGAGTTATGTTCCTGTCTCTACTCGCTTCGTGACTTTCAGATTTCTGAACAAGAAGTGCAGCTGCTTTGCAATATAGAGTTGCCAAGCCTGAAAGTAATGCACGGTTACGTATACCGCCCTGGATAGCGGGCGCATTTCTGGTCACCTCATTCTGGGTGATGGGATACAGATCGATAGGAAGGATAGATATGCACTGCGATGCGTTCGCCATTTGCTTTTTTCACACTGTGCAGTGATATTGCCTATTTCTGTAATGTACGGGAAGTGTGCCTCTAGAGCACTGTTCTTCATTCCCACTCATGCATGGAGTTCAGCACCAAACACATGAGCGGCTGGGACGACATTTTGTTAACTATAATCGTTAAACAAATTATTACCATTGTAGTGAACATTTGCTATATCGATGGTGCAACGCAGTTATAGCGAATAAAAGTTATGCAATTATGCGCCCAGCTGGAATGTGATCAGCACCTTTCCTGTCCTGAATCTTTTGGCTTCTCACGGGTTTACTCTCACGGTGCTTTCGCATTGGTATGTTTGACTAATCCAACCACAGTCCCACTCAGTTAAAATCAGGGCATAATCTTCCCCAATCCAGCTTTGCATGATGCCGACGGATAAGTATATGAAGTGAGCATTGCAGGAGACCTTTGCCTTTTGACAATCGAACTTATCTTAATGGTACTCAAGGATGAGCGATGCATGCCTCACCCGCGCTCCCATGTAATACTGCGCATACGAAGCGTTGTATAGCAATGCTGAAATTACGTAAGGTAGAGAATATGTCATTATACCTGAAAGCTCAGCCCTCCATCACTTGCAAAATTGTCCAAAGCGCAGACTTGAAGGTTTTCAGCTGACCACGGCAGCGCCTGGTGCCAACATGACGCAGGCTGTCATGACAATTGCGGTGGTGTCTCGGCCTCCGCAGCTTTAGTGCCGCATATGTCAACACCCCCGTCGGTCCTGTCGGATCTCACGGGTCTCGAGTCGGGTCCACGAGCCGTGTGTCGTAACGGACGCCGGCACCGCCTCGCTCCGTCACGACGTCAGCTTACGGGGCCCCGTCCGAGCGCCCCCCTGTCCTGTGCAGATCGCTGGCAGACGCGGCCGGGGGTGGCTCGGAGCGCTCGAGGGGTTATGTTCTGTGTGTCGTAACGGACGCCGGCACCGCCTCGCTCTGTCCCGCCGCCAGTTCGCAGGGGCCTGCCAGAGCGCGCTCATGTCCTGTGCAGATCGCTGGCAGACGCGGCCGGGGGTGGCTCGGAGCGCTCGAGGGGCTATGTGCTTGGGAGGCACTTTGGCCTCTTCCCCTGCCCCATGTCCGTCTCAGCCTCCAACGTGGGGCTCAGACTCACACTAAAATCCGCTAAAGAATGCGAAAAAAGATTAGAAACCTGTAGCTCCGTCGAGCTGGCCCTAAGCCAAGCCTAACATTGAAATGAAGAGGGAGTACTTAAGTTGGGTCATTTAACTGCGAAACGCGCTGCTGTCGCCATCACTCGTTACTCTTCGTTCTCTCCCTAATGCTCACCAATGTTCAATTCCGCAAACAACCGTCCCGTTAAAATTCCAAGATTTTTCACCCATCTAGCGCAATCATCAAACGGCGATGTCGTCATCGGACATAAACTGTGCACGTGCATCGCTGACTAAATCTAGGCTTCTAGCCTCAAGTGTCTGGCGCGTGATAAGGTAAAGCTGTGAGCGAACATAAGCGTCCTCTGCAAACGGTTTTGATTATCATGACCCATCGCTTGCACGTGAGTCGATGACCTATGTTGCACCACGCCGATAGTCTGCTGTCCTGGTCGGTCTCCGCCCCCGAACGCACACCATGCATCGCTTCAATTGTAGGGTGAATGCTTAACTATACGCAGCATCTGATGAGGACTCAGGTGCATAGGATCGTGCAGATGACGGCGATTTGTGCTGTGTGAATCGGTGTGTGGAGACAGCTATCATATCGATCGTGACGGCTCTTTCGCGCGGGATTTAGGTCGTCCACTTGCCTCGCATGGACAGGATGTAGACAAAAGCGGAGCAAAGCTTTGAGCACGTTCTTTTTGTTGTTTTTTGCTTTTAAAACGGTTTCAGCTTCCTCCATGAGAGGACCAACTGCCCCGTAATATTCATAATCGCCTTAGTGTTATCCTTATTTAGCGTTACAACTAAATTCAATGCATCCCGTACGATAAACGGGGACATCTGATTGCAGTATGTGTGGCCGTGGGCTTCTTCAACATGTGCCGATACGCGGTCGTTGCATTGCTTTCCTTTCTGCATATTTTCAGGCTTTAGGTTATGTACAAATTGCTTAAGCGGTCCAGGCTTGCGGAAACCTGACTGTTTTACCTCGACTTTAACTGAACATGTTACAGAAATAAACAGCACCATGCAACGTGCGATGCACCACGAAATACTATGCATGTCATGCATGTCAAGACATCAGCATGCGTATAAGTCATTGGGAGACTTGTGCTACCTTCATCACCTTCATTAACAGGTCTTGACTGTCTTAATTAACCCATGGATACCCAAATATAATGAGTAACGGGCTGGGCCGGGCAGAGATCTGGGCGGAATCTGAAGCTAGGGTGTTGTGGGCGAGGCTCGGAGGCAGGTGTACCAGTCGAAACCCAGACAGAGCTATCGTGCTTGCATATTTTTTGAGTCTGTGCATATCATGCTTCAATAAACATCTCGTGACCTAAAAAGTGTTGGGCTAATGCTCTCAGGAATCC